TACTTGAAGTAAAAGCAGGCAACAACCTTTGAATGCAATATATGTTTTGTCTATGAAGAATTTATAATGGCATAGAAATATGATTTTCTAGAATGCTAAATTTAAAAGCAGAAAATGTATTTATAGTTTGAATATAACTTTGGGAAAATATATATAACACAAAGAGAAAAAAGCCCCAAGAGGAAATATTAACAAAATGTTAATGCTGACCAACTGAGTGGTAGGTTACTGGGTGATTTTTTTCCTTTTCTCTATTTTGCAAAGTTTTTAAAATGGTTAGTGTTGGTTTATTTGAACATTTTGAAATTTAAGTCTTCACTTGCATTGTCAGTGGCAGGATGGGATGCTGGTTGAGCGTATGATTCTAGAAGTCATATTTCCTGGGTTCAAATCCTAGAGTTCTGGTTTCATTGCTTGCTAGCTGTGTTTCTTTGGTCAAGTCTCAGGTCCATTTAATTCACCAAGTATTTACTGAGTGTCTAGTATGTGCCAGGCATGGTTCAGCAAACAAACGGGTAAAATTCCCTGTGCTCATGGAGCTTCCAATCCGGTGTGTGCCACCTGCGAAACGGGAAGCAGCAGAGTGTCCAATGGACAGGGTGGCGACGAGCCAACGCTGGGGAAGTGTCTGAAACACGTGAGCCCTCAAGAAGTGCTAATGATAACTAGTACTTTTATATAATAATACCTTATATTTTTATATAAAAATGTCCACTATAGTTATAGAGTTCTGCAATTCCCAATTTCACTATCAGTTAAAAAAAAAACTTTCTGAAAGAATGCATTTGACATGGTGTATAATTGACTACTTTTGCTGGTCATTTGACAGAAATACTGATTACCCACCTAATCAGTACGTTTTTATTCTATACTTACCATAGATCAATGGACCTGGCTGTGACCAAGAGGAGCCCAGTTTTCCAAGTGCTTCCTAAGAATTTCTGCTTCCTCATACTCTTCTCAGTGACAAAATTATTTCTTATTATCTTTTGTAGCAGTCTAATATTTTTACCATTTTCAACCAGTGATGCAATTATTAGTTTAGTGCTTTCAAAACCATTAGCGTTTTAGTTTTCTAAGGATGCCATAATAAAGTACCAAAAACTGGGTGGCTTAAAACAACAGAAAGTTTAGAGGCTAGAAGTCTGGAATCAAGATATCAGCGGGACTACACTCCCTCCAAAGCCTCTAGGGGAGTGTATTTCGTTGCTTCTTCCAGCTTCTGGCGGCTTCTGGGAGGTGGCAGCATAACTCCAATCTCTGCCTCCGTATTTTCTCATAGCCCTTTCCCTGTGTATCTCTCTGTACCCTCCCTCCTTTCATAAGGATATCAGTTATTGGATTTAGGGCCCACCCTAAATCAGGATGATTTAATCTCAGGGTCTTTAACTAATTACATTTTCAAAAACCATATTTCCAAATAAGAACACATTGTGAGATTCTAGCTGAACATGAATTCTGGGGTGGGGGGCACACTATTCAACCCATGACAAATAGCAATAATAATATCAACAATATCACTCGTGATTTTTAAGTTCTTAATATTGATGATAAATAGAATAATGGTTTCTTTAAATGTATGCTGTTCATTGCCTTCTTATAAAAGGTGGATGAGGCCCAGATTTTTCTAGTGTGATTCTGAGGAGCATGAGCCAGAAAATGTTAAGAAACAGTGTAACCTAAGGTGCTTAAGGCTCTGATTTTGTGAAGCTTTGGGAAGACTCATATATCTCCACGAGAACTGAGATATGCAAATGTTAAGGGTTGTGTCTAAGGCAAACTTACTGGAAAAACAGGAAATGAATGAGGTGCCCAAACATTTGGACAGAGATTTTGTTCTTCTTTGCCATTTCTCTTGATGTTGTAGAAATTCTGATAATCTGTTATTTACACTAAGTTGTTCATATGCCAGTCTAGTTGAATGTTGTTCCTTGTGACTGTACTATTGGTAATGGGGATTGTTTCCCCAGTAATTGAAACCTTTGAATTCCGATACCTCAGTTGAGGCAAATTCCAAAAGCACTTACTGTAAACTGAACATACAGGAATTAGTTTCTGGCAGGTGTGCATTTTGCAGTGTTTTATAGTTGTATGAAATAGATGTAATAAGGGAAGGCTTTGGACCACAATTGTCTTTGCTCTGCTGCTTTGCCAAGCAGCAACACCAGGATGTAGGACAATGGCAGAGAAAGAAGACTGACGTTCAGTTACCCACTTATTCAAAGAAGTATTTATCGAACACCTACTATGCACCATGCCCTAGGCTGTGTGTTGGGAATACCACAGTGACCAAAACAGTGCATCTTCCCTTAGAGAGATCCCAGTCTTTTAGGCTAGATGAACAAGTAAACAGGCATTCAGAGTGTAGGGGAGGAGGCCGGAATGGGGAAGAGTTCTAAGATACAAACAAGCAGAGTACCATAGCATTTAAGAGAAGGGGCATCTAATTTAATCTATGTGGTTTGGTGGTGATGGTTGGTGTCGTAAAATGTTTTATGGTGAAAATTCTCAACTAAGCAGAGGTCTGTGGAGCTAGCAGGCTCCATTATAATTACTCAATAGATCTTTTTTGGAAGGGGAGTGAAAGAATGTGCTCACAGCCTCCCATGCTTTTGAGAAGAGTGTTATTTCTACTTTTCTCACTACAACTACAGTTTGAATCAATAGGGAAATGCGTTAACCTTTGCACAGGGAATCAGAAATTTAGGGAATTATCCAGAATTCACAAGCCAATACAGTGCAAATGAATTGACACTGGAACATATCCTATAATGTATTGTCTGGAAAAAAGCCTGATACAGTTATCTCCATGTAGTAGTTGTTCAATTAATGCTAGTTAATAGAAATGACAAGAATTAATTAGGGGTAGTCAAAACTCTAGTCATTTGATGAATCTGAAGTTTTATTCTGAAAGTTAAAATAACTGAAGCCTCAGGTAGGAAACAGTTTTGTAGTGAAGCTTATGTCTTCTAAGTATTTTAAAAAATTATTTGTATATGTGTGTGTTTATAATGCTTTTTTTTAAAAAAAATAGAAGATTTGTGGTGAAAAAATCAACCTTTAAAAAATTAACTTGATTTTTAAAAATTATGTGAAATATTTAAAATACAGAAAATGTGAAAAGGAATGATATGACGGTGTCCAAAAGCTTTGTCAAATCTTAACATTTTTGGCATGTTTGCCTCAAAAAATGTTTTTTAAGAAATAAACCATCACAGATAGAGATGAACACTCTGTGTGTTCCTCTCCCATACCATTTTGCTTTCCTTATTAATCAGAGATTAACAGCTAAATCCCTCTAGAATGTTATTATGAACTGGGTGTTTGTTGTTACCTAGTTGCCTACCTTTATCCAGTCTCTCTTCCTCCCTTAGAACAGATAACTTTTGACTATTTAATTTTGAAGAGGTATTTTTTTACTGTTGCTTGTTTGGTGACTATTCTTTTAAAATTGTATTTGCTCCTGTTTCTTTCTTTTTTTTTTTTTAATGTCTGAAACATTTATTTTAACATATTTCCATACAAATAACCCAAAGAAAGTTTAGTATTAGTTGTTTTTTGTTTGTTTGTTTGATCGTTTATACTGCAGGTTCTTATTAGTCATCAGTTTTATACACATCAGCGTATACATGTCAATCCCAATCACCCAATTAACCACACCACCATCCCCACCCCACCACGGTTTTCCCCCTTGGTGTCCATACGTTTGTTCTCTACATCTGTGTCTCAACTTCTGCCCTGCAAACCGGTTCATCTGTACTATTTTTCTAGGTTCCACATACATGTGTTAATATACGATATTTGTTTTTCTCTTTCTGACTTACTTCACTCTGTATGACAGTCTCTAGATCCATCCACGTGCTCCTGTTTCATGGATGCAATATCTTTTACTTCTCTGGCAATATTTTTTCCCTTTGATTTCTTTTGCTTCCTGCATTTTATCTATTTCTTTGTTTCTTTTTTAAAAAATAATTGTGTTGGTCTGTTTTATATTATAAGTGATCTTAAAAAAAACGATGATTCTTTTCTGTCCATTTATATTGAAAGTAAGGCACATAAAATCTTATTGAAAGCCCAACACATGAGGTCAAGGCTTATTGAGTGGTGAGCTTCACTCTTAGGCAATTTTCTTGCAGAATTTCTAATTGTCCAGCAACCGTAGTCTTTTTACTTGGGCTTATCAGTCTCCTGAGGAGTTCCTGTATACTCCAGGCTCTTGCCCGTGGGTATAAGCCTGACTGCTGGGCTTCGGGGAGCTGAGGAAAAGAAAGGTTTTGGACTCTCATTTCAGCATTTTTAGCTTTGCACACTTCCCTCGGCTATACCTGGTGCCCCTGAATCCAGCGTTCACTGCCCTCAGTGATAAACTTCCAGTCTTCTGTGGCCATGGGGTAAGTGAAGAGGGAAGAGTAATTATGTCATTTTGGCTACAGGAGGTGCCCTAGGAGTCTAACTGCTCCTTTCACACATATACACCTTTAATCAGTCCTTCTAGTCTTTGATCCACTATATCTCCAACTTCAAAGATATTTAGCATTTCTAATTCCTGGTTTCTATTCCATTAGGCTTTGACCAGGAAATAGAGCTAGGCTTAGGCTTAGGGTTAAATGAGAGAATTTTATATATTCTTTCTCTCTCTCTCCATCTGTATTAATCTCACCTTACCTAATGATTTGACAGTTGCCTTCCTTTTGCTCCCAGACCCGTGTATAGATCCCTAGGTCTCACCCTAGCATTTTAGGAATCCTGTTCCACATACAACATTAATGGGAATGTTGTAGATCCAATCTCTTTGTCAGCATGTTGCTTGATTCCATTCCTACTTAAGAGGTAGTGCCTGTGTCCTCTGGGCTCTCTCAGGCCTGAAGCTTGCTCAAATCCGTAGCTCCAGATGGGAGTGGGCAACAGGCATTTCCTCCCCTTTTTCATAGGTGGGAAAACCCTATATATCCATCCTTGTCCTGGCTCCCTATCTTGGGTTGTGACTTGTTTTATTTCAGTCACTCTGCAGAAGCTGAATCTTCAGCCCCACTCCAGACTCAGAGATCAGGAGCCTTATGACTACAGCCCCTCTCACTCATTTGTGTCTTTGTTCCACTCCTCATTCAAGAAAGGTAATCTTTTTCTCCCTTTATTCCTGGAAATATCTTTTTATGTATATCTATCTATCTACACACATTTATTCTATATATGTATATATTTATTGTATATATATTTATTTATTTTAGTTTTTCCCTATCACTTCTATTTGTTTGGAGCAGAGGAACAAAGTATGAATTCAATACACCATCATCACAGAAAGTCTAAATATTGATTCATCAAAAATTAACCAGATGTCAGCAACAAAAACAAAAGCCAACAACCAAAGGAAAACCCATGCCCTTTCACCTGGTAAAAAGCGGTAAGGGTTGATTGAGTCTGATTTGGATCGATTAACCAGGATACTGTATATGACTGTACTTTGAAATACCCAAAGCCCCTCACAAATCTTAATTATTTATTTTATGTTTAGGTGTCCATGTCACCCCATTAGGAAATTCTCTAAGACCTGCCTCACACCGCCCCTATTTTTACTGATGTCCCAAACATAAAAGATGAACTTCTAAAGACCTGGGATTTCTCTCTGTCTCAGACACATTCCCTGAACTTCCAACACAAACAGAAAAGCATTTTCCTGTCTCTGGAGTCCTTGAGCAATGTTTGGCCAAGAGACACACGAGACGAGGGTTAGAAGTGTGTTCTCAGCAGGCTGGGTGAGTAGAATGGCCTCCTTCCTGCACAAGCTCTCCAGCCCGGGCCCACTGCCAAGAGCACAGAAGTTCACCAGAAAGACAAACAGTGAGAAGTTCACCAAACACTTGGACTTTAATTTGCTTCTTGAAATGTCAGGTTATTTTCTTTCTTTCTGGCAGAAATTGTTGTGCCTTCTCTAACCTCACAGTCCTACTCCTGGTAGCAGTTTTCCCCGAACTTCATTAGTTCAATTCAATAAATATTTACTGAAGTGTGCCAGGCAGTGTTAGGTACTGAGAGTGTGATGATGAATACAGCATGGTTCCTGTGCTTAAGCCCTCACAGTCTGATGTCGGGAGTGGGGGAGGACAAACAGGACTGTGAATCAAGAGAATTAGTACAGGTGGCAAACCTTTGTGCTTGGAGCTCTAGCTGTGGCGTCCAGCTGCCCAGGTTCACATCTGAAGGAGTTGTTATTCACTGTGAGGCTGTGAACAGTTAGTCAGCCTCTCTGTGCTTCAGTTCCCTCATCTGTATAAAGGACATGATAACAGTGTCATGTAGTGTATATATGTACAGGCATACATATGTACACACATATACATTCAGGATTTATTATGGTGCTTTTATATATATATATATATATATATATAGTACATATGTTTTGTATACACTTGTATATGTATCTATATGTATATGTATATATGATGTATCTATATATATATTTTATCTATATCTAGCTATATCTATCTACATGTATATATGATGCAGTCTGTATATATGTGTGCTGTATGTATGTATACAGTCTGTATATATGTGTGCTGTATGTATGTATATATGTATACATGTATATATGATGCAGTCTGTATATATGTGTATATATGTGTGCTGTATGTATGTATATATGTATATTCTGTATGTTCTGTATGTAAATATACTGGTATTATAATATGTTTATATGGTTATATATTACATCAATATATACTAAATGTATATAATTGAGCCTGCCAAACAAGAAGCACTCCATAAATGTAAAACTCGATTATTATGAACATTTTAACTATGGAAAATGAAGGAGAGAGATTACACTAATAATGGATGGAACATGGACTTTAGAGTCAGACAAGTCTGGGTTTAAAACCTTGCTCAACATCTTATAACCTAGAGTAACCTTGTATGTGAAGCCCTTAGGCCATTTCAAAATCAATGCTCAAAAAGAGCTACTGTTATTATTATTATTCCTTAATTAGGCTGAAATAAAGTTTCCCCAGCTCAAAAATAATGATTACTATATTCATATTGATATAGAACAATTGTTCTTCTTATTGTCGAAGATAAGAAATATATCATTTCTAGCACAAAGGGGTCCATTATAGGTAATCAATAAATGGTGATCATTTAAAATATGATTATCGTCTCCGACCATGTATTTTTGATGTAAAGTGTCTCTTATGGGGCAGAGAAGACTAAGTTTCCAACCAAATTTTCCACTCTTCCTTCTATAGGATAGAGTTATATCTGGGAAAAAGTTGCCAAACCAGGGGCTACATCTCCTTCCCTTTTGGGCCAAGTACCTGGTTCTCATAGTAGAATATGAAAATAAGTTATGCATGTCCAGGTAAAGGTGATTAGGAAGTATGACTTTTCTCCCCTCTCTTTCCTTTCTACTAGCTGGAAGCAGAGGACTCTGAGATATTAAGAAGTGACAGAACTGTAAGATGCAAAATTCCTGCGTTCCTGAATCACCATGTGGAGGAAAGTTATCTACTGATCAGGAACACCCACATCGGATTCTTACCTGAGAAATAAATGAACTTCCATTGTGTTAAGCCAATTTGAGGGTCTATTTGTTAAAGCATCTAGTATTATCCTAATAAAATGGAATATGCTAAATGTTGAAGGTACCAGGGATGAACTACAGTTAGGTAAATTTTAGAACACTATCAAAATTAGGCCATTATAAGGTCCAGTTAAAATGTTGAGGGAATTTAAAAAGAGAGAGAGGCTCAGCCGCCGCAACAGAGGTGAGTGCTGTGCTCCAGGTGCCGCAATCCCAAGGACATGGCTTCTCTGACATTTCTGGCCAGGGGTAATCGGCGACATCCATGGGAGGAGTGGCTGTAGACACCTCTGCTCCTCAGGGGACTCAGGTCCTTCCCATCACCTCACTGAGAGCCTGTCCCGGCCATGGGGACGCCTCTTTCATCATCCCTCCGAGGCTCGCGGGACCAACGGATGGCCGCAGTGACAGAGGACCAGACTGCGGGTAGCGGCAAGAGACCTTCAAGATAGTGGAGGAGTAAGACGTAGAGATCACCTTCCTCCCCACAGGTACATGAGAAATACATCTACCTGTGGAAAAACTCCCACAGAACACCTACTGAATGCTGGCAGACGACCTCAGACTTCCCAAAAGATATATATATTTATATTTTTTTTTCCTTTTTCTCTTTTGGTGAGTGTATATGTATATGCTTCTTTGTGGGGTTTTTGTCTGTATAGCTTTACTTTAACCATTTGTCCTAGGGTTCTGTCTGTCCTTTTTTTTTTTTTTTAGTATAGTTTTTAGTGCTTGTTATCATTGGTGGATTTGGTTTTTGGTTTGGTCGCTCTCTTCTTTCTTTCTTTTTAAGTTTTTAATATTTTTTATTTTAATAACTTTATTTTACTTTATTATTTTTTTCTTTCTTTTTTTTCTTCCTTTTCTTCTGAGCTGTGTGACTGACAAGGTCTTGGTGCTGCGACCAGATGTCAGGCCTGTGCCTCTGATGTGGGAGAGCAAAGTTCAGGACATTGGTCCACCAGAGACCTCCCAGCTCCACATAATATCAAATGGCGAAGGCTCTCACAGAGATCTCCGTCTCAATGCTAAGATCCAGCTCCACTCAATGACCAGCAAGCTACACTGCTGGACACCCCGTATGACAAACAATTTGCGAGACAGGAACACAATCCCACCCATTAGCAGATAGGCTACCTAAAATCATAATAAGGTCACAGACACCCCCAAACACACAACTGGATGTGATCCTGCCCACCAGAAAGACAAGATCCAGCCCCATCCACCAGAACACAGGCGCCAGTCCCCACCACCAGGAAGCGTACACAATCCACTGAACCAACTTTAGCCACTGGGGGCAGACACCAAAAACAATGGGAACTACGAACCTGCAGCCTGCAAAAAGGAGACCCCAAATAAAGTAAGTTAAGCAAAATGAGAAGACAGAGAAACATACAGCATATGAAGGAGCAAGGTAAAAACCCACCAGATCAAATAAATGAAGAGAAATAGGCAGTCTACCTGAAAAAGAATTCAGAGTAATGACAGTAAAGATGATCCAAAATCTTGGAAATAGAATGGAGAAAATACAAGAAATGTTTAACAAGGACCTAGAAGAACTAAAGAGCAAACAAGCAATGATGAACAACACAATAAATGAAATTTAAAATTCGCTAGAAGGAATCGATAGCAGAACAACTGAGGCAGAAGAATGGATAAGTGACCTGAAAGATAAAATAGTGGAAATAACTACCACAGAGCAGACTAAAGATAAAAGAATGAAAAGAATTGAGGACAGTCTCAGAGACCTCTGGGACAACATTAAATGCACCAACATTCGAATTATCAGGATCCCAGAAGAAGAAGAGAAAATGAAAGGGTCTGAGAAAATATTTGAAAAGATTATAGTTGAAAACGTCAATAATATGGGAAAGGAAATAGTCAGTCAAGTCCAGGAAGTACAGAGAGTCCCATACAGGATAAATCCAAGGAGAAACATGGCAAGACACATATTAATCAAACTATCAAAAATTAAATACAAAGAAAAAATATTAAAAGCAGCAAGGGAAAACAACAAATAACATACAAGGGAATTCCCATAAGGTTAACAGCTGATCTTTCAGCAGAAACTCTGCAAGCCAGAAGGAAGTGGCAGTACCTATTTAAAGTGATGAAAGGGAAAAACCTACAACCAAGATTACTCTACCCGGCAAGGATCTCACTTAGATTTGATGGAGAAATTAAAACCTTTACAGACAAGCAAAAGCTGAGAGAATTCAGCACCACCAAACCAGCTTTGCAACAAATGCTAAAGGAACTTCTCTAGGCAGGAAACACAAGAGAAGGAAAAGACCTACAATAACAAACCCCAAACAATTAAGAAAATGGTAATACGAACATACATATCGGTAACTACCTTAAATGTAAATGGATTAAATTCTCCAACCAAAAGACATAGACTGGCTGAATACTAGCAAACAGAATCCAACAGCACATTAAAAGGATCATAAACCATGATAAAGTGGGGTTTATCCCAGGAATGCAAGGATTCTTCAATAAACACAAATCAATCAATGTGATACACCATATTAACAACTTGAAGGAGAAAAGCCATATGATCATCTCAATAGTTGCAGAAAAACTTTTGGCAAAATTCCACACCCAGTTATGATAAAAACCCATCAGAAAGTAGGCATAGAGGGAACTTACCTCAACATAATAAGGCCATATATGACAAACCCACAGTCAACATTGTTCTCAATGCTGAAAAACTGAAACCATTTCCTCTAAGATCAGGAATAAGACAAGATTGTTCGCTCTCACCACTATTATTCAACATAGTTTCGGAAGTTTTAGCCACAGCAATCAGAGAAGAAAAAGAAATAAAAGGAATACAAATCAGAAAAGAAGAAATAAAGCTGCCACTCTTTGCAGATGACATGATACTATACATAGGGAATCCTAAGATGCTACCAGAAAACTACTAGAGCTAATCAATGAATTTGGTAAAGTTGCAGGATACAAAATTAATGCACAGAAATCTCTTGCATTCCTATATACCAATGATGAAAAATCTGAAAGAGAAATTAAGGAAACACTCCCATTTACCACTGCAATAAAAAGAGTAAAATACCTAGGAATAAACCTACCTAAGGAGACAAAAGACCTGTATGCAGAAAACTATAAGACACTGATGAAAGAAATTAAAGGTGATACAAATAGATGGAGAGATATACCATGTTCTTGGATTGGAAGAATCAACATTATGAAAATGGCTATACTACGCATAACAATCTACAGATTCAATGCAATCCCTATCAAACTACCAATGGCATTTTTCTCAGAACTAGAACAAAAAATTTCAATTTGTATGGAAACACAAAAGACCCCTAATAGCCAAAGCAATCTTGACAAAGAGAAAAGGAGCTGGAGGAATCAGGCTCCCAGACTTCAGACAATACTACAAAGCTACAGTAATCAAGATTGTATGGTACTGGCACAAAAACAGACATATAGATTAATGGAACAGGATAGAAATCCGAGAGATAAACCTATACACATATGGTCACCTTATTTTTGATAAAGGAGGTTAGAATATACAATGGAGAAAAGACAGCCTCTTCAATAAGTGGTGTTAGGAAAACTGGACAGCTAAATGTAAAAGAATGAAATTAGAACACTCCCTAACACCATACACAAAAATAAACTCAAAATGGATTAAAGACCTAAATGTAAGTCCAGACACTATAAAACTCTTAGAGGAAAACATAGGCAGATCACACTATGACATAAATCACAGCAAGATCATTTTTGACCCACCTCCTAGAGAAATGGAAATAGAAACAAAAGTAAACAAATGGAACCTAATGAAACTTAAAAGCTTTTGCACAGCAAAGGAAACCTTAATCAATATGAAAAGACAACCCTCAGAATGGGAGAAAATATTTGCAAATGAAGCAGCTGACAAAGTATCAATCTCCAAAATTTACAAGCAGCTCATGCAGCTCAATATCAAAAAACCAAAAAAATCGATCCAAAAATGGGCAGAAGACCTAAACAGACATTTCTCTAAAGAAGATATACAGATTGCCAACAAACACATGAAAGGAATGTCAACATCACTAATCATCAGAGAAATGGACATCAAAACTACAATGAGGTATCACCTCACACCAGTCAGAATGGCCATCATCAAAATATCTACAAACAGTAAATGCTGGAGAGGGTGTGGAGAAAAGGGAACCCTCTTGCACTGTTGGTGGGAATGTAAATTGGTACAGCCACTACGGAGAACAGTATGGATGTTCCTTAAAAAACTAAAAATAGAACTACCATACGACCCAGCAATCCCACTACTGGGCATATACCCTGAGAAAACCATAATTCAAAAAGATTCATGTACCACAATGTTCTTTGCAGCTCTATTTACAATAGCCAGGACATGGAAGCAACCTAAGTGTCCATCAACAGATGAGTGGATAAAGAAGATGTGGCACATATATACAATGGAATATTACTCAGCCATAAAAAGAAATGAAATTGAGTTATTTGTGGTGAGGTGGATGGACCTAGAGTCTGTCATACAGAGTGAAGTAAGTCAGAAAGAGAAAAACAAATACTGTATGCTAACACATATATATGGAATGTAAAAAAAAAAAAAATCGTTCTGATGAACCTAGGGACAGGACAGCAATAAAGACACAGATGTCTTGAGTCTGTGGGGAGGGAGAGGGGTAGGCTGGGATGAAGTGAGAGAGTGGCGTGGACATATATACACTACCAAATGTAAAATAGATAGCTAGTGGAAAGCAGCCACGTAGCACAGAGAGATCAGCTCGGTGCTTTGTGACCACCTAGAATGGTGGGATAGGGAGGGTGGGAGGGAGACGGAAGAGGGAAGAGATGTAGGGATATATATCTATATATCTATATATATCTATATCTATCTATCTATCTATATATATATCTAATTCACTTTGTTATATAGCAGATACTAACACACCATTGTAAAGCAATTATACTCCAATAAAGATGTTAAATAAATAAATA